TCATTTTCACACATGGATTGGCCACCACAGAGTCCAGACCTCAACCCCATTGAGAATCTTTGGGATGTGCTAGAGAGGGCTTTGCTCAGCGGTCAGACTCTACCATCATCAATGCAAGATCTTTGTGAAAAATTAATGCAACACTGGATGGAAATAAATCTTTTGACATTGCAGAAGCTTATCGAAACAACGCCACAGTAAATGCGTGCTGTAAAGAGCTAAATGCGGTCCAACAAAGTATTAGAGTGAATGACCTTTTTTATGGTGGCGACATTTTTTTTGGCCAGGCAGTGTGTATTTAACCTTTAAATCCACATGTTATGCTTTGTGGATTTCTACAGTTTGAAATATTGATCTCAGTGATAATTTTTGAACACCACAATGTATTTAGTAAATACAAATACTATGAACCAGTAATTTTTATTCATATATTTCCACATTCAGCTACAGAAGCATCCTCTTGAAACCCTTCAAAATTGTACTATTAATAAGAGTATGCAAGATTTGTTTTTTCCCCTTAGTATTTTAATGCTATGCTGCATAATGTCTTCCTTTTTGGTGATAAAGAAATGACCACCCTAGTTGTAGACTGTCTGCTCAGACCTGACAGACCTAACCCCAACAACCTGCTCTGTAATGATGGCGGCTCTCTCTGCCTGCACATCAGCTCCATTTTCCTGTTCCCTTCAGCTCAGTGCTGCTTTAAAAGCCAGGCTGCTACACTGAGCTCTCATGCTAATGAGGACAACAGGCTATGTGGCTGTTGCTAAGCAACACATGCACACCATCTAGCCGTTTTGATGCCACATCTGAAAAATCCCACTTTGACTGCATGTCACCACAAACTGTGGCAAACATGAGGCTGTTATGCTACATAGGTTGTTATGTCAGTAATGGGGACATGACAAAAAACCCGACAATAAACTTACCATCACCATAGCATAGCTAAGCCTAACCCTAGAGTCACCATAGCATAGCTAACCCTACCCCTACAGTCACCATAGCATAGCTAACCCTACCCCTACAGTCACCATAGCATAGCTAACCCTACCCCTACAGTCACCAT